CGTTTTCGAGGCGAATCGCAGCGAGGCAAGGGTTGCCAATAAAGATTTCAATACTGTACTCTGTACTTGTTCGAAGTGCTATCCGGAACCCTTGTCGACGGTGACCAGTTACATCTGAGTGATAAGATTAAACAGGGTCACAACTCCTCAATGTGAGGGTGCTTGGACAGTTCAGGCTCAAGGCTCTCGAGTCTCGATGCCGAATGTCTGCCCAAAATCTCACCGTATTTCAACCCGGCTCTGTGCTTTATCATTCATCAAAACTTGGTATACTATGTATTCGAAGCGTATGGGAGCGATGGAGTCAATAAACTTACTTCCTAGGTGCATATACTTTTTTTTTTTTTTTTTTCCTGCTGAAATGTATCAATTTCTGTCTGGTTTACAGGCTCTTATCCTTACGAGCTTTTGCTGAATCATGGGGCTAGAACGTTATCAGCTAGGGGCCAATTTTCATGCTCGAAGCGCCAGGGAGAGAAGTCGTTGGTGCGTTGCACCTAATTTAGCATCGGCGACCGTTGTTTTGCTCAGGACAACAAGCCACATTGAACAAGTTCGAATGTCAGCTTCATTTCTGTTTGAAACCACTGCTAGGGGCGGGTTGCCGCATTTCTCACTGCAACAAACTTGTTGGTTTCGTTGGTTCAACAATAATGTGCTAGAAACTATCATCCTCGTTGTGGTTTATTTCTGCAACTCGCCACATGCGTTCGCTCTGGAGACAGGGAGCAAGTTACAATATAGGATAGAGAAATGTATCTCAGCATGCGAGGGGAGTTAAATTGTATACAATGTATAAAGGACCAAGATGTCATGCAGGATATTCGGGTTAATCGGTTGCTAGCTAAGACAGAAACATCGAGCATTTAGCCCAATACCAATGCGTGACGAGCAACGATAACCACCACACAGTTCTTGATCTTTGAAAAAACTCAGTAGGAGGTATATATCATAAGCCTCATGAGCCGCTCTTTGAATGAACAGTCCCATACCATGTTAGACCAATTCATGACCATAGTTCAAAAGCGCGTTTTAGCACCAGGAAAGCTGGTTGATTTGTGTCAAAGAGACGAGGGAGGATGAACTGTGGTACCCTGTTTGGAGAACTATCGTGATCGATGACACTCAGCCACTTGCAGGAGATTCATCGCAAGATCAAGGGAATTGAGAAGAACAAAACAAACAAATACAAAACAGAGTGTTGGAATTAAGATGAATCTCCTAAGTGAGTGAAGAAGATGCTCTGTAGAGTACAGCTTGTGTTCCTGCAT